ATCTCTCTCTCTCACTTACGCATCCTATCTTACTTTCTCTCTCGCGTCCGCAAAAATATCTAATAATGTTACATTTTTACGAAGCATGGTTTTACTCTTTTGCTTGTAGATTAAGATATCGCATACCAGGTGTAAAATCAACAATCTACTAAATCAGTTGAGAACTTTCTCTTTCACGTATCTTGCATATAGCAACAAAGACATGAAATATCATACAAATAAAACAATACAATGTCTCACAAAATGCCTCTTGCAAATGATTATAGTTAGGGTGGTTTATTTATTCATTAGTATTGCGCATGATAGTGGTTCTGTCTTCACTACAGCGTGACGACGAGAAAAACAAAATGTCCAACTTTTAAAACAAGATTGTTGTTTTAACATATAAATAGAAAGAAAAGTAAAATACATCAGAAAAAAGTCATGTCCGCTAAAAACCAATCCAAAAAAAATCTAGATTTCAGTTTTTCGCGTGTGTTTCTTTGTCGGATCCTTTTAACAGGAGCATCTGCACTGATTGTAGAACTTTAAAATACGTATTTAGAGAAAAATGTAGCTATATATATATATATATATATATATATATATATATATATATATATATATATATATAATGAGCATATTTTTATAATTTTAATTAAACGGCGTCAATATTCTCCGTTAATCAATGCCATTTGCATTTCAGCGAGTACAATTTATCACCTTTCCCGGTTGTGCCCAAAACACATGAGGCGGATGAAGTAGCGTTCATCTGTTTCAATGACCTTTACATACATGGGGTAATTCAGCCTTTGTTTCCCTTTTGTGAGTTAGCTACCCATCTCTTCATATGCGTGGACTGGAAACACATTCGTTCTATTTCATATGCCCTAAAGTTCATTAGGTCTGGAAAGGGAAATGTACTTATTACCAGAACTGGACGGTTACTAATTCACTTCACAAAACGTGCATATAACTAAAAACAAAAATTTTATGCGAAATTCCCTAACACGGATGTATTCTTTAAGTTCTATTCACGCTGAAAAGCTTGCAGTAGCACTACAAATCTTCACCGGGTTCACTGTTAAAGAGGAGGTGGGGCTGAAATAAAAAGATTCAAAAGCATTCTAAAAATAATAGTAATAATGAGACTATGCAATAACTGTCAAATTTAGTAGAAAATGCAATCTTTATAAACTCACGACTTAGGAAAATCGTTTGAATACGCTGGCCTAAAACCATCAGAAATGAGGTACAATAAAAACGGACAAATTAACTGCCAGCTGTAGAAGAGATCCTCTAGAAAAAAATGGAAATAGATTTGCCACTCACTCAGATAGCCTGTATCCAGCATAACAAGACAGGTCATCGCCTGGAATCAACAGGGCAGGAGGGGGAGAGGCAGACCAAGAAAGATCTGGAGACGTGACCTGAAAGAAGACACCAAGACAATTGAATACACCTGGGAGAGACTAGCCCAGGAGAGATGCCAGGAAAACTCTTGTCGGTTGCATGTGTCCCATGAGGGGCGACAGAATAACCTTATCTAAGGATAAAATTTCCTTTCGGAATCGAGAATAAATAGGGCAGGTGAAGTAGATTTCAACAGTTTCTGTGACCCCGACATGTAATGAGAAATCGGCTTAAAACAGCTGATTTTCATTTCCCTAAGATGATTCAGATGCACATTTAAAACGGAAAGAAAAAACTAAGAAGAGATCTATGGATAAGAAACCAGGTGCCTTGCATGTGACGCGTGGATTAACAATCGAAAGCTTTACAGTCCATCTTAGATAAAATACCCTACTTTATTTTAGACCAGTGGTTTTTACTCTGGGCTCAGTCGAACCCCAGTGTTTCGGTAACTTAGTCTTTGGGGTTAGGTGGAGGTCAATACACACACGCAACTCATTGATTCTCGATCGGATTTTGTCAGTGCGGACGATGAAACTGTAAGAAGGGTTCGGTGAATATATATGTAAGTTTCCCTTTCAAACATGACGGTCTATGGGGCAAGTGAAGTAGAGTTCAATTGTTTCTGTGACCTTGGCACATGAAGAGATAGTGTAGTCAGCACTATGCTCAGCCGCCTTTATTTTCCCTAACGTGACTTAGGTACCCATCAGTTTTGGGTGGACTCAGGGACGGTCTACTGACTTGAACCCGGATTCGAACTCGAGAGTTACGGGTTAGCATTCCAGCTCTCTACCGCTAGACCACTCCGTCCCAAGACCTGAAAGAGGACACCAATAAAGTGTATACACCTGGGAGAGACTAGCCCAGGAGAGATGCCAGGAAAACTCTTGTCAGTTGCATGTGTCCCATGAGGGGCGACAGAATAACCTTATCTAAGGATAAAATTTCCTTTCGGACTCGAGAATAAATAGGGCAGGTGAAGTAGATTTCAACAGTTTCTGTGACCCCGACATGTAATGAGAAATTGGCGTCAAACATCCATCCAGCTGATTTTCATTTCCCTAAAATAATTCAGATGCACATTTAAAACGGGAAGAACAAACTAAGAAGAGTTATATGGATACGAAACTAGGTGCCTTGCATGTAACGCCTGGATTAACTATCGTAAGCTTTACCGTCCATCTTAGATAAAATACCCTACTTTATTTTAGACCAGGGGTTTTTACTCTGGGTTCAGTCGAACCCCAGTATTTCGGTAATTTAGTCTTTGGGGTTAGGCGGAGGTCGATACACACCCCCTACTTATTGATTCACGATCGGATTTTGTCAGTGCGGACGATGAAACTGTAAGAAGGGTTCGGTGAATATATATGTAAGTTTCCCTTTCAAACATGACGGTCTATGTGGCAAATGAAGTAGAGTTCAATTGTTTCTGTGACCTTGGCACATGAAGAGATAGTGTGGTCAGCACTATGCCCAGCCGCCTTTACTTTCCCTAACGTGAGTTAGGTAACCATCAGAGTTGGGTGGATTCAGGGACGGTCTACTGACTTGAACCCGGATTCGAACTCGAGACTAACGGGTTAGCCGTCCAGCTCTTTACCGCTAGACCACTTCGTCCCATGGTGAATATATATGGTACCTACAAAAACGTTAAGAGCCACTGTTTTATAAGCATTTTGTTTCATGCTCTGTTGTTCTATTTTATAAATTCGTCATAGCAAAAATAAAAAATAAAAAATTTTCTATCTATAAACGTGTGAAAAACAACTTATTTATCTTGTATGTGAATAAAAAAAAAATTAACATTAATTAGCACGTAACGAAATGTGATCCTGTACATGTGTTTTGGCAATGCATCATGCCTGTGTAGAGCGATTTATTTTGTTTACCTTCAAATGTTAACGGCGGTTTCCTAACGGGAAATTAGTACATTTTGGCGTAGGTGATAGTTAACTTATTATCATATACCTAACATTAATTAAGTATGAAATAGATTTGTTTTTCTCGAAATGTTTATTAAAGTAACGTAAATGGAATTAAAATTTGTCTATCGAATTTTTGAAAAAAAAATGATTATAGTAATTTTAAAGAATATTATACTATTTTAAAAAAAAATATTATAGGAAAGACAAATAATGAAACGATAAAGATAGAACAATGAAACGTTACTGAACAAAACACTGTAATCTATAACATATCATACCATATCATACACAGCTATTTAAAGCGATAAGTAAATAAATTGTGTAAAATCGAAAAATTTGAATTGACTGAAGATGTTTATAAATAGCTTCTTCTTCTTCGTTCTTAATTATTAGTGTTGAAGTGGATCGAGATTTATCTGCCTGTTGGTTTGAACTCGAGACTTTGTTCGAATTTATCAACCATGAACTTGCCGACTCGACCACGCCTACAACACAATTAAGCGTTACGTGTCAACTGGTTATGCGCCATTGAGGCCATTGACTCCGATTTCAGCCTGCTTTTCTTTTTTGGATTTGCTGTCCTCAGCTAACGAGCCTCATCTGCCCGAGGGTTCGAACTCGAGACTTTTTACCGACTCGACCACGCCGAGCCCCTTATAAATAGCAATCTTATCTATTGTAAGCTTATTTGTAAAGCATTAAGTTTTCTCCTATTTTGTTTCTTCGTCCTTGATTTTAATGTTTGGCCGTATTCCCCCTAACACAAACAACTAGTACGTGTCAACTCTTTATGCGCCATATAGGCTTGTTTCACTTTCGGGATTTGCCTCCATGGTCTTTGTCCATTAACAAATAAACTAAAATGCAGCAGTATTTATTTTGGAGTTTTCTCATCTAGTTGGGTTGTTGTTACCAGCTATGTAGTCCTACCCGAGATTCGAACTCAGGACTTTTCAGACCAGACCCGACCTTGTAAGGTTTTGAATTGCCAAATTTAAACGAAGGCCATTTAGTAGGGCGTAACCTAAATAAATCCCAACAACGGAACGTAAAAAGGTCCCAAATATGGAACCTAAATAATTTCCAACTATGGAACCAAAATAGTTCACAACAATGAAACCTAAATAGTTCCAAAATGTGGATCTTAAACAGTACCCACATATAGTACCTAAATAGCTCTTAAATATCGAAAATAAATAGTTCTCAAATATTGAACCTAAATAGTTTAAAACTATAGAAACTAAATAGTTCCCAACTACGGGACCTACATAGTTCTTAACTGTTTAACTTAAATAGTTATTAACTATCGAACCTAAATAGTTCCCAACTATGGCACCTAAAAAGTTCTAAAGTATAAAAAATAAAATAGTTTCCAAAAAATGAAACCTAAATAGTTCAAAAAAATATAAAATCAATAGCGAAATTAAAACTCAAGCCACTTAATTAGGCTGTAATCAACCCAGTTATTTTAGTCTAATGGAAAAATCAAAACATATCCACTACGAACATAACACGTTGTTGTCATTGTATCTGGTGCACATGCCGTTGTTTTAGCACGTCATCGATCAAGTTTCATATCTACAGTAGTTGATTTGTGTTTCATTAGCTGCTTGTAATTTGAACGACAGGTTAATTGCCTAGGACTGGAATATATAGCCACATTACAGCATACGGTAGTACTAGCAGCCTATCGCTGGGTTCTTGTACTGAGGCACAACTAAAAATACGTACGTTTATTTCTTAACATATATATATATGTATATATATATATGTATATATATATATATATATATATATATATATATATATATATATATATATATATATATATATATATATATATATATATATATATATATATATATATATATATATATATATATATATATATATATATATATATATCCAGTGCATAATGAAATGATTTCTGATGTATAGGCTACATTATTCCTCCGTAAAGATACATGTTTTTATTTTTGTACTTGACAGAACCATGAAGAAATTGATAACCTTGATGTTGTTTTGGGGTATTATTTGTACAACGACCTGTCAAACTACTGATGGTAAGCAAAACTTCAGGCACTAAGCATAAATATTAATGTATATATGAAAACAACCGTCAAGACTCTGTTATGAAAATGTAATAGATAGAAACATAATAGATAAAAAAAAAATAGTACAATAATAAAAAAATATAAATGTAAAGCTTTCATATTTTTATTTTTGTACTCAGGTGCAGCAGCTGGGGATTTAACAGCTGTTAAGTGAGTGTAATCTGAACTTATACTTAATATATACATCCATAAGAACACATAATATGTATGTGTATAGATAAATATATATATATATATATATATATATATATATATAT